AGAATATGTGAAGGAGATAACTTGAAGAAGGAGCAACACTTTCTACGAGGCGTGCTACAGAGGAACGGATACACTTCGCGGGATATCAACCGGGCCATCGTGTTAGTCACTAGGAAGACAGATGGGGGCATGGAACTGGGAGTATATCGAAAGAAGACGCATGCGAATAGGTACCAGGCTTCATCCCACCACCACCCACAACAGAAGAGGTCCGTGATTCAAGTCTTATTCCAGCGAGCAGAGAGGATATGCGATAAAGACAACCTAAGAAAAGAAGAAAGATTCCTAGAAGATGTGCTGCAGAAGAACGGCTATACGATGAGAGATATCCAAACCACGCAAACAGAAGGATGACTCGGTAAGTACGACACCAGCCGGTTTTATCTGTCTTCCTTATGTTTCAGGTGTGACGGAACGAATTGCGAGGCGTCTGAAGAGGAATGATATCGTGGTTTCTGAGTAAGGTTGCAACATGGCATATAAAACGTCAAACATTTTTTCAAAAAACGCACGGCTTAACCCGAATGTTTCTAGTTTTAGTGATAGTGTTAGTTCTAGTTTCAGTTTAATATGAAGAATGTCAAACAACAAGCGGAACTTGTCCCTTACCATCCTTATCTAATCATTAAACCAATGGTTCGCCCTAACAGTATTATTATTTCTAACGAATCTAGTTCAAATACTAGACCTATAACTAGAAACATTCTGGTTTAACCGTGCGTCTCTCAAGACGGCTCCCATCGAATAGGTACTTACATTATTACGCCTCAGCATAAACTCCTTCGTGAACTTTGTTGCTACTAGATAATCATAAAAAATGGCAAAATACGCTTCAATCTGATCTTATTCAAAATGAATCTTCAAGTGTTGATCTAATTCACTAGCTTTACAAATGAATTAATAAGACTCCTGCAGCAACAGAATTAGAGCCTTTGAAATGGCACTTGTAGCTTTAATTGTAACATTGTTTTCTCTAGTTTCCAGAATTCTACGAAGTCAGCGAAACTTGGTATCTATAGCTCATCATATTAAAATTTTGTCAACGTTATGAAGCAAAGAGTTCAGTGATCCATTGATCTAACAACTTCTCATCTGGTACTAATATAGAAAAATACAAAAGTGACGATGTCGCATCGATTGAGAGAGCTTGCCGTTTAAGAGACAATTTTAAATAAAATAAAAGTAAAAAATGTTTTCTGAAAGAATTCGTTTGTATTTTATCGGAGAGAAGCGTATATAATCGTGGAGCAAGCGAACAAAGAGATGGGGAGACGATATGAGATCTATTTTTTAAATTTTCTTAATAAATATGGTGTGCCATTCATAGTGTTGGGAGAAATGTCGGCAAACGGAATGTTGGGGTCTAGAAATGTAGAAAAAACATATGATTTATCGGAAGAAGGTAGTGAGGAGCTTATCTTTTGAATGATGATCCATGTTAAAAATCCCTACCCTATTAGGGAAAGCGGCAGGGCGTCGGAAGCGTTTCGTATAAAGCGAGATCGAGGTGCGGGTGGTGTCTGGCGGGAGCTCGCAAGGATTCATGTTGTGGAAATCACACGTCCTTATTAAAACAGAGCAGAAGCTTGATAAATGGTCTAGGCGGCAGACTGTAACCGGCGATTAGAATGCTAATATGTCAGCGCAACGTAAGTGATTTTTTTAAACGTTAAAGATGTCGCTCATGGGATTATTCGGCGATCGCGTTCAAAGTTCCGACAATTTAAGAACCCATTGTGCCGAAACGACGTGCAAACCTAACCTAAACCGTAAACGTTAAAATACCCCAATTGATTCAATTTCACCCAAGAGGGTAGGAATAAAAATGTCCGGAATCTCCCCTTTATCCGCGCCTCGCCGACGGCCCGTAGCATTTGAGAAACACAGATGAGCATGTTGGGAGCTATTAAATTGGACAGATCGTTAATATAAATCATTCTGATGCAATCGTGTTTACTCCCGTAAATCGCCCCTCCCTGCTCCTCTTTGTCCTCCTTTTTCCCTGATTTTTAATAACGCTGGCTTTAATTAAATCCACCCCATAAGTGTAATTGCACCATTATCTCCTGCACACTGACCCCAAAGCCCCGCGCCTTTCTATCTTCATTTCAAGGGATTTCTACCGGCCGAGATTTTACGTAATCTAACCTGGAAATGAGCGCAACCTTTAAAAACTCATTTTCCTAAACGCTTCACATCCAATATTATCAAAATGCCATTTAGTTATACATTTACTTTCATTATTTTTCAATCCACTAACTTAATAATAAGATATAGTAAGTAACTAAACTATACTGTTGCCTATTTTGGTAAAAATCTTCAGAGCGAGTGTCGTCTGGAAATATGTACCGGCAGAATGGACTAAGGTAAGGGTATCTTATATACCAAAAGCGAGCCGTTCGGTCCCTACTCCTAATGATTTTCGACCCATCAGCCTAACGTTATTTCTGTTGAAAACCCTTGAAAATGTTCTGGAACGGTATATCCGTACGGTGCCATTAGTTTCTGGTCCACTTAGTCGCCACCAGTATGCTTATCAAGCGGGAAAATCAGCAGAATTGGCTCTACACAACTTAGTTGGTAGAGTATCCAGGACGCTGCAGGATAAAGAATTCTTGGTTTGTGCGTTTCTGAATATACAGGGTGATTCTCAACCTATACGCATAAGCTGAGGGATCTATTTCTCAGGACAAATAATGACTAATAGATGAAAAAAATTGTAGTAAAAGTTTTTTAGTTTCCTAAATATTCGATATAATCGGCGACATCTAGCTAATGTGTTTCGTAGAAGATGGATAGGTCGAGATGATCAAATGGCTTGGCCACCATGATCGCCCTGCCTCAATCCTCTTGATTTTTGCTTTTCGGGTCACTTAGAAAGCATAGTGTACGCCACAGAAGTTAATACTGAGCAAATATTGCAAAATCAGATACATGCTGCTGCCTAGACAATCCACCAACACCCTGGCTTAGGCCGCGCTAGTGGGAGATCGTGGATTCGGGGAGCCCAATTGAAAGAAAATATGGAAAATAACTTCAAACACTTGCTGTGATGTTATTTTAAAATGTTCTATGTATTCTTGGTTTGAAAGTAAATATCACTGATATCTATGAAACAAAAAATCTTTTACCACAACATTTTTCGCCTATTAGTCATTATTCGTTGTGAGGAGTAAATCCCCATGTTTATGCCTATAGGTTGAGAATCACCCTGTAGAGGGAGCGTTCAACAACGCAATACCACAATGTCTTGAAAGAGCTGCTTTTGACAAGGGAGTGGAAACAACTATAGCGGGTTGGATCTGCAATATGCTTGATAGCAGAATAGTTTCTACTTCACTCCACGGTGATAGGATACGCTTCAGGGCGGGAGGTGGCTGCCCACAGGGAGGGGTGTTATCTCCCCTGCTTTGGTCCCTCCTGGTTGACGATCTGATTGCGATAGTCGAAGCCGTTGGTGTGGAAATACAAGCTTATGCTGATGACATTGTCGTTATGGTCAAAGGAACCTGTATGTCGAAAATATCTAAACTCCTCCAGGTGACCCTAGATACCATTTGCGCTTGGTGTAATGGAGAGAACCTCTCTATAAACCCGCAAAAGACAATTGTTGTGCCCTTCACCAGGAAACGAAAGTTGGATGGACTTATAGCCTGGGTACGTACTGTATTCCAGGCGGAAGTATTTGCTATTGACATGGATGCTAAAATCCTTCTTGAAAGAGGGGTGAAGAACATGACAGTACGAATTTTCTCAGACAGTCAAGCCGATCTCCAGGCGCTGCAAGCCGTGAAAACGGTGTCGGCTCTGGTTAATGATTGTAAGAGAACATTAAAGAGACTGAGTTGTGATAACAGAGTTTCTCTGATCTGGGTCCCGGGTCACTCTGGGGTTGCTGGCAATGAAGTGGCAGATAAGCCATCATTTGCGATGGCCAAATATAGGATTGGACTATGGGCTGAAGAGAGACTTCGCCTACTATGGACCAGTGCTCCTGGAATGAGACATACTAACGTGTTTACTGGGCACTGCCGATTAAAAGCACACCTCAATTTGTTGGGTTTAGCCGACTATGTGCGAAGGAAGCAGAGACGGTTGAGCATGTTTTATGCCACTGCCCTGTCGTTAACCGTATCAGATTCTCGATTTTTGGATTCTCAAAGGATCTGAATGACCTTTCACTGAGCAAGGTACTAATGTTCGTTAAGAGCATTGGACTGCACGGTGAAATTTGATAACGATATCTATCTTGGTACAATAGATCCTTAGGGTCGCGGTACAAGGTTGGTTAGTCCGCCTACCCGATATGTATTCTGTGTAATGTAAGTAACTAAAACCGTATTCACTTTTATGTAGAATCAATTAAAAAGTATATATGCATAAACATGTATATTTATGTAATGAAATTGCACTAAAATATGAAAAGAGATGGGGTAGATGAAGCCGAGAAATATCAAAGAGCCTCGAGAGTTCGGTGCGTGACCTGAATGGGTTTGCAATCTTCGGTTGCCTTTATGCGTATCTTTTCCGCTCAATTAAGTTAAATACCGGGACTAATTTAATATGGCTTCAGCAGGAATACCTCGAATAGCTGGAGAGTAGATTTTCGAATATTTCAAGCTGTCACCGTGCAGCGTTCGTATAATTTCAAATATTATCTAAATTAGTAATTAAATGGGAGCGAAATGAAAGAGTTAGTTGCAAAAATGGAAGACAGGTTAATTAACAGAATCCATTTTGACCCTTTGAACGCATCTAAGCATTCGTTAGACAGGTCAATTTCATTTTGAACGCAAATAACGAGTACTCGCCGGGATTTGATATTTATTTTAATATTCATTTTGGATACAGGAAAGTTTTAATTAAATAATTATACCTTGCCGGCTTGAACCAGCGGAAAATCAACAAAACCGTTTTGAAATTGAATCGAGCGTTTGTGTTCACAAACACCTACGATTTTACTCAAATTCTACGAATCAAGGGAACAAAAACGAACAAGCTTTGTATTAAAATAGCAATTTATTTACTCTTAATCTACAAATATATGAACTTATTACATATTATCCTATATTAATCGTCCTCATAATCAAATTCAGCGACTATTTCTCTAGAATTCCAGGTATCAAAAGGTGATGGTACTTCGCATGGAAGACATTCCAGATAAGACACCCCGGTATTGTGGCCGGTACATTCGCAAGTTTTACACCTCATTTGCGATTGTGCGGATTCAGCTAACCTCCTAGCAAAAACTTTCGCCGCTTTCGGAGCCAGTTTTCCCTCTAATTTCTTTCCGGTAAATACAGCACCTGTTTGATAAAACATAATATATAAATACAATTTAATTAATATTAAAGTAGCTAGAAATGTTTGTAAACGAAATTTAATTATTTAGTTTCGTTCTGTTCAAGAGTACAGTTGTGAAACAAACAGCAAAACGAACTTTGAGCATCGAAATACAAATGCTGAGGGTAAAATTTACATTGATAACACGGCCCGTGTGGGAAGTGTAGCGACTCTAAATAATTTATTCGTAAACTACAGTATGAATTTCTTGTTAAACGGCGAATTCCTACTAAGGCAGTTGCGGCGGGGGCGGCATGATTCATGCAGAAAATTACATATTCCGCCAGGTATTTCTATTGAATTACTTTAAACTTTGTGTGCCCGAGGTAATATTAAGGAGACGGCGCCGGCGGCGTCGAAAGCATTCGTTTTGTTCCATTTTTCGAATTTGTAATTCCGCGAATGATAGGGTAACATCGCATTACTAGGAATTTGTGAATCTAAATTTTTATGCCCCGGTAGTTAATTTCTTAAACACTTTCCCATTTTAATAGCTTTAAACGGGAGCAAAGCTTTTTAGAGCTTTTCAGGTAGCCGAGCGCGCTGTAGAAGAAAACAAGCAATAAAGATATCAAAGACGTCCGTTCTAGGAAGGAAACATTAGCTTATGCCTTCCAGCATGATACCTATTGTCAACAAACAACGCACTTCTTATAGTAGCAACGAATGAAAAATATGCTGGCTATGAACGTTTTTGTTCGTTAACCTGCTTTCATCCTGCGTCCTCGTTAATAATGAGCGTACTTCACGTTTTCTACTTTATTTCGTGGCGGATAACCATAAACTAATATCCACTGAATCATAACTCAAAGCCTAAAACTCTTACAGAGTATTAAATTTCAATTTTCAACTCACCGTTCGACTCTTGCGCCAGAGGTAAACAAGAACCTAGAGTGTTCTTCGGTAAGTGAATGTCTTTCTTCAACTTCCTATCTCCTTTAAAGTCATCAGCGTCCGACTTGGTAAAGGCCCGTATTCGATCAAATCCTGTGCGAGAGAAAAAAAATTAATAATAAGGAGGAGCGGAACGGTTCAATTTGGGCCGTCTTCCCTTCCGGAGGCAATAAAGGAACGAGGGAAACGTTCAAAATACTACACGTACTTCGAACACGGACCTCGACGGCTTCCGAACCGCATCCGACGAGTGCATATTACAACTGCAGATATACATATCGAACAAAACCAATTTCGCCTCCACAAACACTGAATACCTTCGCAATAATATTCAACTTTATTCTCGAAGGTTGTCGCCAGATTGCCTCAAATGATCTCTTTTTCCAGATTTGACACGGGTTTCATAACTTTGATTGTTACATTTATTTAACCTGTTTACTTATTTACTACTCCACTATCCATACTCGCAATTAGAATAATCGGTTGATAGTAACAAGATCAAAGTGGAGTGTACCGTTAAGGATTATTAGTCGGCAATGGATTCATGACTTTGATTACCCCTACGTATAGGATTAATCTAATCGCTTTATCTTCACATCTCAAAATGAATCTATTTAAGGAATACAATACAGTTATAGATTAGACTAATTAAATGATATCAATAAGTTTAGTACGGAATGCCTTAATATTTACTTTATAACATAATTGATATCCATCCCATAGTTATATTTAACGATGTGTTTAGAACATTCCAATATACACACAATTTTTTAGTGATTCTTCGCATACCAGAACTGGAAGTGCACGATTCTACCCGATTTAATGTAATTTAGCCGAGGTCGCTTGCGGCCGAGGCCTGCGGTTGATAAATCGATACCAAACTGCAGATCTTTGAATAATGGTAATAATTTGCTATGTTCCAACATAAATGTGTTTTCGGTAACGTGAAATGCATATAATTCGCGTGCTAGAACTGAAAGTGGATGATTCCACCTGATTTAATACAATTTGGCCGTGGTGGCTCGTGGCCAAGGCCTGCAGTCGATATCATATCGGTACCAAACTGCACATCTTTGAATAATGGCAATAATTTGCTATATTTTGACAGAAATGTTTTTTTTTGTTAGAGTGAAATGCATATAATTGATGTCCTAAAACTGGAAGAGTATAATTTTGTCTGATCTAATGTAAAATGACGCTTGCAGCCGAGACCTGCAATTGATATCATATCGATACTTGCGGTCGAGGCCTGCAGTCGATATCATGGTATCATGGTGTATCTTGGAATAATGTTAATAATTTGCCATATTCCGACATAAATGTGTTTTCGTTAGAGTGCAATGCATATAATTCGCTTTCAAGAACTGGAAGTGCATGATTTTGCATAATCTAATGTAATTTGGAAGAGGTCGCTTTCATATCGATAAAAAACTGCACATCTTTGAACAATGGTAATAATAATTTGCTATATTTTGACAGAAATGTGTTTTCGTTAGAGTGCAATGCATATAATTCGTGTTCTAGAACTGGATGTGCATGATTCTGCCCGACTTAATGTAATTTGGCCGAGGTCGCTTGCGGCCGAGGCCCAGAGTTAATATCATATTGATACAAAACCAAATAACTTTGAGCAATGTTTTACTATTTGTTTAGAGCATTCCAATATACACACTGTCTTTGTGATTCTTTGCATTCTAGGACTAGAAATGTATGATTCGGTCCGAATTAGAGTGATTTAGCCAAGATCGCTTGCGATCGAGGCCTGCAGTCGATATCATATTGATACAAAACGGCACACCTTTAAATAATGTTAACAATTTACTATATTCTGACATAAATGTATTTTCGTTAGAGTGCAAAGCATATAATTCGTGTTCTAGAACTGGATGTGCATGATTCTGCCCGATTTAATGTAATTTGGCCGAGCTCGCTAGCGGCCGAGGCCCAGAGTTGATATCATATTGATACAAAACCAAATACCTTTGAGCAATGTTTTACTATTTGTTTACAGCATTCCAATATACACACTGTCTTTGTGATTCTTCGCATTCTAGGACTAGAAATGTATGATTCGGTCCGACTTAAAGTGATTTAGCCGAGATCGCTTGCGGTCGAGGCCTGTAATCGTTATCATATTGACACAAAACTGCGCACCTTTAAGCAATGTTAAGATTTTACTATATTCCGACATAAATGTATTTTCGTTAGAGTGCAAAGCATATAATTCGCTTTCAAGAACTGGAAGTGCATGATTTTGCATAATCTAATGTAATTTGGCCGAGGTCCGGAGTCGATTTCATATCGATAGAGAACTGCATATCTTTGAACAATGGTAATAATTTTCTATATTTTGACAGTAATGTGTTTTCGTTAGAGTGAAATACATATAGTTCATGTCCTAGAACTATAAATGCATGATTCTGTCTGATTTAATGTAATTTGGGCGAGATCGCTTGTAACCGAGGCCTGCAGTCGATATCATGGTGTTACAAATCTGCACATCTTGGAATAATGTTAATAATTTGCCATATTCCGACATATGTATGTTTTCGTTAGAGTGCAATGCATATAATTCGCTTTCAAGAACTGGAAGTGCATGATTTTGCATAATCTAATGTAATTTGGCCGAGGTCGCTTTCATATCGATAGAAAACTGCATATCTGTGAACAATAGTAATAATTTGCTATATTTTGATAGAAATGTGTTTTCCTTAGAGTGCAATGCATATAATTCGTGTTTAGAACTGGATGTGCATGATTCTGCTCGATTTAATGTAATTTGGCCGAGATCGCTTGCGGCCGAGGCCCAGAGTTGATATATTGATACAAAACCAAATAACTTTGAGCAATGTTTTACAATTTGTTTACAGCATTCCAATATACACACTGTCTTTGTGATTCTTCGCATTCTAGGACTAGAGATGTATGATTCGGTCCGACTTAGAGTAATTTAGCCGAGATCGCTTGCGGTCGAGGCCTGCAATCGATATCATATTGGTACAAAACTGCACACCTTTAAACAATGTTAATAATTTACTATATTCTGATATAAATGTGTTTTAGTTAGAGTGCAATGCATATAATTCGCATTGTAAAACTGGAGGTACATGATTCTGATTTGGCCGAGGTCCCTTGCAGCTGAGACCCGAAGTTAATATCATTGATACAAACTATACAGATTTTACTTGGTGTAGAAGCAATGGGCTCAGCATCAATCCAAATAAAATCGAAATAGTCCCTTTCACTCGGAGAAGGAAGCTACAAATAAGAGCACCCTCCATTGAAAGCAGAACTATTAACCTCAAAAGAGAAGTTAAATACCTAGTGGTAATACTAGACAGTAAACTAAATTGGAACTCATACTTAAATAAGGTGAGGAAAAAGGCCATCATGGCAAACCAGATCTGGGGTCTCAAACCACGAATGGCTCATTGGGCTCACGTAGCAATAATCAAACCTATGGTCGCCTACGCCTCATTGGTTTGGTGGCCAAAAACAAAACATAAGACAGCACAACAACAGCTGGCACAAATCCAGCGGTTAGCATGTCTTAATATAACAGGTGCAATGAGATCTTGTCCGACGGCTACTTTGGAAGAACTACTCGGTCTCACACCACTCCATTTATATATTCAAAAGAAGGCAGCTTCCTTATCACTGAAAACAGTTTCTTCACTCAAGTTGATGCAGGGTAACCTCAGAGGATACCTCGAAATCCTCAAGCACCCATATCTAAATCACCTGATTGAAATTAAAACGGACCTTATACCAACAAAATACAATTTCAACCAACCGTATAAGGTCATATTTAGAAGCAGGGATGATTGGACGAAGGGTGGGCCTCAACTAAAAAGAGGAGTGCTAGCCTGGTTCACCGATGCTTCAAACACAGTTAGATCCGGAGTAGTTATGGGCATCAGTGGACCAAATAGCCACATTAAACTGTCCCTCAGCTCGGACATAACAATTTTCCAATACTGGTAATGAGAGGGGCCGCTCCCCTCAGCCCGGCAGCAATAATAACAATAATATACAGTTTTGAACTATATTTAACAATATGCTTTCAGCGTTCCAATATAAATACTTTTTCGCAATATTATTAGGAAACCTTTGATTGACAATGTGTTCGTAACATTCTAATATAAATGCTTTTCGTAATTCCCAGCGTTTCGGGACTAGAAATACATGATTCTGCCTGATCTAAACTAATTTGGCTGAGGTCGCTTGCTGCCAAGGTCATCATCAATAAATATTAATGATACATGTTATCATTACAATAGAAACCTTGGTGAAGATCGTTTGCTGCCTAGGCTCATAGTCATATTGACTACGTGCTAACGATGTGCTAGCAGCATTCCAATATAAATACGTTTTCGTAATTCTTCTCGATCTAGGACTAAAAATGCATGATTTTGTCAGATTTGGACTAATTTCAATAATGTTTTACTATTAATATTTATTTTTGTAGAAATCATACCAAATTCTAAATTATAGATGAGAAGAAAAATCTTAATTATAGATTAGTAGAAGTACCTAATTACAATATAGATTTCTAACTCAAGTTGTGCTCGAAAAGCGTGACATAATTAGTAGAAACTTGTTCGAGGTGATAAATCGATGATGCAGATAAACAGAGCGCGTTGAGTATAAACTCTTTAACCATCAGTAGCGAGGTAGATGGGGTATTAGATTTGCGCTTGCAAAGTGGAATGATTAGGAACGCCATGCAAACAAAATTTCCACGCGGGAAGCGTAAACAATTAAGTCGACATAACGTTAGGATGTTAAACAATTCTCGTACCGGTAGTAATACGCAAATTATGGTGCGAGGGTTGCCGTGGCAAAAACCGTTATTCGTCCCAACACAAGAGAAGCAGTGCAAATTGGATCCAAGATTTCCAAGTTGACACGTAGAGATAATTAACAAAAGATTTCCTCTTGAACTAATATTGTAAACCCCTTTTTATTGAGACTTGCGGTTGCCTCAATTATTTACGTGTTCTTGTCAAATGCACGTAGATGCCGGATTGCGGGTCATAAGTTGTAGTTTTTTTTTCGGTTGATAATGACTATATATTCTGGTGTATTTACAT